GACCTTCTGGAGGCCCCATCTATAAGACAGAAAACAAGTGCTTTCATCCTGCATCTGAGATCAGTCGTGGGGCTTCACTCCCCCAGGTCCACGTCACACCAGTTCTCCGTGTCCTCGCTGAGATGGCGAAGAATGTGTTATGTGGAGAGGAAGAAGCCCAGAGCGTGACCATCTGTGCTGTTACTGAGTCACACTGTCCCGCAGGACGTGGCCTCTGTGTGCAATGGGTGAAGGAGGGTGGAGGTCATGGGGCTGAGGGATCCAGGCACCCCAGGATGGCCACAGACCCTCATTCCATCAGCGAGCAATCAGAGAGCATCTTTGAGCTGAAAACATTAAACATTTCAAAGGTAGTTAAGAAATGCAGACCAGCATGAATATGTAACGTACACACTGCTTGGCAGGTGCCTTTATTGTCCAACAGGCTGGTGCCGACTTTAATTTGGAAGAAATCCGTTTTCATACCAAGGTAACCAAGAGTGACAGGATACAGCAAGCCTACATCATTTATCTTCTGTGAACTTTAGAAAAAAAAAAGAAATCAGTTCATTGCTTTTCTAGGAAGCTATTTTACGAAATCATGTTGCTTTATCTTTATTTTTTGCTCTTATTCGTGGTATAAATGGTGATTTAAAAACGCCCGTCATGATAGTGCTATGATGAATCAATACATCTTCAACTATTTAATTACTTCTAAGACATAAAAATCTGAGCAGCCAAAAATGCTCACTGTGTTCTTGCGGATGAATTATCAACCAGTACTGAGACTCCTGACACGCAGCCGATTAACTGATACCCAAATTCAGATGTCTCTTCCCTCATCATAAATGACAGGCAGCTGACACTGTTTTCATTCTTTCCCTGGTTCTGCAGACGCATTATTTCCCCAGCTGTCCAAGCCCTCTGCAGGGGCAGTTTACGTCACTGCATTTATGAAATTAATAGCAAACAGGAACGAAAAGGTGTATTTTTCCGGGTGCCACTGCTGACGCCGCCACGTGCTAAACGGACTGACTTCGCAGCCTGAGACCCGTGTTTTGTCTCCACTGCACTGCATATCTGGTGTTTTCAGAGCATTGCCCCATTTTTGCCTGGCCTACAGTACCTCACCTATAAATATGCATTTTTTAATACTACCAATTTTGAGACTAATATAAAGCACTCTTTTCCGATCTGGAAATGATCATTTTAGATGATTTCTTATCTTCTTTCAACTAACAATTTCTTATTATTTCATGAGCCAAAGACAGGCACACTGTGAACAAACAACGTACTAGCCCCGGGGTCCCTGGAGCAGAGATTCCTCCGAGGCCCCAAGAAGGGACTTTGCAATGTGTTTACGTATGTTTTTGTGAAAATTTCAAGCATAAAATACTTCTTTTTTTTTCCCTAAAGAGGACCCTCCCCCCAAAGACGGTCTAAATTTTAGGTCCCACAATGTGTATCTGCCCCTCTCAGTTAATGATGAATTACATGCTACACATTAGGGTAAAAATATTAATTGTGTCTGTGTATGTGTGTACACGCACCCGTGTGCATATGTTTGAAACAAACAAACAAAAATTCACTTCAACTCCAAATAAGACTCAGTGTGCCCCACCCTAGAACGTTCTAGAATGCCCACTTCAGCCATTCCTGAAGTCTCCTGTCTCCTACCTAATAGTAGTCACCCTTCCAAGTGGCAGCCCAGGGAAGGCTCACTTAATGAGGGGTGGCGTCGAGAATGAAAGACTCAGCTGTAACAACAAAAATATGTTTTTCATTAAACACAAAACTGAGCTGGGAAAAGCCAGCCAAGAGGCAGGTGTATCAGTTAAGGAATTCCCTGGAGGTCTCTAACTTCCACATCAAATTGCACTGAATTTCTCTACACTAATTGCCTATTATTGAAGACTAAAGAATTATCACAAATAATTCGCCACGGCGGCAGATCGAGTGCAGATGTGTGGGAAAGAAGGAACAATTTCTCAAGTGTGAACTCAGACAAATGAGATTCACAAATTCTCAGTTTTTGAAAGTAACACAGCATCTTTTTCTCAGATCAGGATTCTGAAGGTGAGGGAATTTTCCCGGGGCTAGAAGCTCAATTTTAAATTTAGTTCGGACTGTGAGTGAGAGAAACTGCCAATTAAGAGCTAAGTGCTGGAGTCTGTCCAACTCGTGCAAGTTTCCTGGAGGCAGAGATCACGTCTCAGATCTTTTTTCGGTTTCTCACACCATGTTATACGTAGCCATTGATTTGATTGTTTTCACGAGGGATGGCCCTGCAAGTGCCACACGGCTGTATTGTCACCTCCCTTGTCTTTCTGTTATTTTCACCTAACACTTCCTTTTAGCCCCCAATTCTTCACACTGTCTACGTCTAGCTTTGCAGCTAACGTCTTGAAAGGACAAGTCAAGAAGCACAAGTTCCCTTCAGGTCATTTCCTCTGTAACTTTTCCTTAAAAAGCACATTTCCGATCTCAGTGGAAATCAGTGTCAGTGCTACAGAAAAGGTATTTTCATACAGGTGGTATATGTGCAAAAAATATATATATATATATATACATATAGGCATTAATATTGTGTAAATGATTTGCCACACTGTCTTATTTCCTCCAAAAAAGAAAAGCAAGTATTCTCCCCAAAGTAAAATCTGATTACATGAGAAGACTCTTCAGTTTCCACTATGATTTGTGGTTTTATAGACATGGCCTGTAAATATTGAATGGTGTACCTGCACAAGGGATTTCTTAATCTCTTGGGGGTATTGTGAAAAAAAACACACACGCACACAAACAACAACAATAACAAAATCCCTTGGATTCTGAAGGATAGGAATGCAACCTTCGAATGTGCAGGTACCACCCTACTGCCAACTGGGAAGGAGCGATGTTATTATGAAAGTGGGCGGATTAAACACACAGGTGTTACAAGATTCAAATTACCATAGCAGCCATAATGTGCAAGCTTTTTGCTAAAATAAGGACTTCATAACCTTCCCCACCAAAAAAAAACAAAAAACAAACAAAAAAACCAAAATCACGCCAATTATAATTTTGTTTTACAAACAACTCTTCTTTTCACCTCTTTTCCATCAATGCACAATTGGCCTCTCGGAAGTGTACAGTATAGAATGTCTGGAGGGGCGCAGGCCACTCCACATGGGGGAACTGAAAGACATTCTGTGTAAAAGCTCTCATGCCTCTCCGCGGGACGCTCCGCCTCGGGCATTTCCCTCTCTGTGGTTACCGAGCACTAGCACAGTATGTCCCCCATCTGCGGTCCACTTGCAGGAGGGCATCCTGCAAGTGTCCACGGGATCAAGGACATCCCCCAAAGCCTAATGAGTCCTGGAGAGTTGTCCTCATAAGGCGGTGCCGGTTGTCGAAAACTGGCTTTCAACCAGAGTTTTATCAACGCGCTGGGTTCCAAAGTAAATAAATTGTTACCTCATAAACGGGAAGTTTCTTTGGTACATAAAAATCATTTGAACAAGGACACCCTGGCGATTAAAATGACAAAGGGATTCCTGGCGGTTCCAGTCACCTCTGTTCAAGGACAAGCCATGCTTTCTCGGCCAGTCTCCTGTCTGTTATCACCATTTGATGGTGACAACAAAAATCAAAGAGCTGGATGAATACAGCTTTGCCCCGGGGCACCTGTGTGTTTCCTACAAACTTTTAAAAACATAAAAGCTCACAGAACTTCCATTTTGCTTCTGTGAATTCCTAATGAACACTTTCTGGGCTCCATCATAAATGAATAATCAAAAGAAGTTACTGGTATACATGTCACTTAATTTCTCATTAGAACCTGTGCAAACAGCTCAGAGGAGTAAGTGTGTCTTCTGTGAGGGTAACACACTGATCTTCCAACTGGTGCTTTCGGAGGTGAGGACTCAGAAACGGGTAAGCTCGGCTTTGTCAGACATGCCACAGGAAATGTCAAGTCATCTATTTCATTTGGTCATTAGATCAAATAGAGATACAAATAATTTTCTGGCCACCGTGTTATTCCTTCTTTAAAAAAGAATGCGTCAAAAAGAAAAATGAAACCGAACAGTTCCCGAGTACACGTTCTAGAAGTCACGCTGTATTTTAGCGGCCACACCGAATCACAGCAAAGCAAAAAAAAAGACAGCAGGCAGGTTTCCTCCTCGTGCGCATTTGACAGCTGTCATCAATTTGGAATACAGCATGCGATGTGCCTTTCTGAAAGGAAAACCTCCTTCTCCATCCAGATTTACTGTTCAAGAGACTTGTCATGGTCTCTCTGCTACCTTTGTGACCATGATTTACTTGTTTTGAAGCTGAATATTCCATACACCCAATCTACATATTTTGTAGTGCAATGAATTTCATAATAAACTCAAAATGCAAACCAGAAGATTCTGAACTATAAGATTTCACTCTCTTCCTACGACCTAAGATCATGTTAACAGGACAATGAGAATACTTAGTTGATTCACGTCAACAAACCCGGATTCTAACATTACAACAGGGATGGGACACCCGATGTATTTGAATAATCACCATATTCAACACTGAATCATTTAACAATTACTTTAAAAATCACTATGAGGTCTACCTTGTGATGTTTATCCTGGAACATTTCAAAACTGACAAAAATGTTGAATTTCTGAACTGATTTACGTAAATATTAACCTCTTTACATACGCAAAGCTTTGAAGTACTTTTATTCTAGTATGTAATATCTCCATCAAAGCTGGTTTATTCACCAAAAAAAACGCCCCCAAATCCTTGAACTATATTGAAGGAGGCATTCCTTTCTGAACTAACACAGACACACCACAACCACATTTATCGGTTCTTAAAAAATTCTGATTATAATCGATTCGTGATTTTAAGAAATCAAACTTTATGAGTCCATTCTCCTGTGTCAATTGCAACAAACTCGACCACGTGAAACCAGTCACACAGTGAACTAAACAAACACGGGAATTGAATTTCCAACTGGAACTACTCAGACGCATGTAAGTGGTGTTGAGAAGACTCACCTCTCCCTGTTTGGGGATGCTGAACTTGGCAAGCTTGGCCTTGGCTCTGGCGGACTCTGGCTTGGCAGCTGGGGCTCCCCGGTGTGATGGGCAGTGCACGCTGGTTTCCGTGGATGATTTAAGCTTCGGAGACTCATCGGGAGCCTGGTCCTGGCCGTCCATTGGCCGCACATAGGCGGTGGGTTTCTGCTGGACCAGGCTAGGTTTCGAAGCCAGGGATGGAGGAAAGTTCTGAACACAGTGTCCACCGCTGCCGTGCTTGGCTGCCATAGCTGGGGGCCTTTCCTGGGTCTGAAGACCCACCTCGACATTGCACACCTGTTTGGTCCGCGGCTGCTGTCTGCCGACACCATCTCCGAGCAAGGTCCTGAGAGAGCCCTGTGTTGCTGAGTTGGGAGAAGAGGAGGAGGAGGAAGGTGAGGAGGAGGGGCCGGACGCATAGGGGCCAGGGTTTTGACTAGGGTTCTCTGGGTGAGGGGATCTGTTCAAATCAAGCCACTCGGGGTCATGCTTACTTGCTCTCTGCTGGCCGTCGGAGGGCTGGTGCCCAGCCTTCTGCCAGCCCACGGTGGCCCGCTTGCTCTGCTGCCCGGGGACAGCTGCCGGCGAGGAGGACGCCGCGCTACAGACGGACGCGGGCTGGGGCTGGGCCCTCGAATCTGCAACGAAATGCTCGTCAATCTTGTTCACGGGAGCCGGAGGGACCCCAGGCTTGGGAACGCCCACGAGGTGAGTCTGATTGGATCTATCCGTTAAAAAGTCTTTCATCTCATCATAATTGCCTAACGTGTTCTGGATCCGGTTAGAGAGCTCATCCCCCTTGTTAGTCTGGAGAGAGAAAAACATGACACCCACAACCTTGTTAGAGACAACAAACACCCTGGAAATCACGAATGAGGGCCGCTGGGGCTCGCGGAGCCAGGGCTGCCACGTTCAGGACGAGAGGTGAGAGGTGACATCAAAACCGTCGGCGTCTCTGAAGACGCCCGTCAACACTCCGGATCTTACCAGGGCCTGAGAGTGCATAAATAAGCGATCTGTCTTCGGCATTGTGCTGCAGCTAAGGAAATCAGAAAATTCACTACTGCAACTTCACAAAATGGTCTGGATTAAGTCTTTCCAGGATTGGGTTTTCTTTTTCTTTTCATCATCCCATTGCAAGCTTCCTTTGAAAATTCAGATTTGGCTCAAATTGTTTTGCCTCCAATTTCTAAACAGAATTATTCTTGTCAGAAACCCAGAGGGACAGACAAAAGGAATCAGAGTGGAGCATGGGGCTCAGTCCACAGGAAGCCACTGGCTGGAACCATCCACAATTCCAAGCAGCACAAGACATGAGTGAAATCTGGGAAGATACTAGGTTATTCTTCTGGCCTTTGGTATAAATGAGAAACAATCCAACAGTTTTTTTTATCAGTCCTATCAAGTACCCTGCTCCTAGCGTGACCCATTTGTGACAGGTAGGTAACCCAAACTCTTTTCAGTGTTTTGTCTCCTAACGGCTTAGAAAACATAACAAAGGGCACTGACTTTGAAAATCAAGGCAGAGATCAAGTCAATTATCAATAAAAATTACAACACACTGACCTCAATATTAAACAGAAGTTGTGTTTTACTGAGGGGCTAGCCAGGAAAGACATGGAGGGAGACACCAAGATTTGTAGGGGAGGCACCCATCCTTAGGGGCTGAGCTGTCTGAAATCTGGTTGGCCAACTCTGGTCGTCAAGACCGCTGTCCCGCTGGGTTAGAGGTCGGAACGAGGGGTGGGGACGAACAAATGGAGGCCATCTACCTTGTAGGGTTCACTGAAGAGGGAGTAACTCGAATTAAACGTGCCATCGTCCTGTTGAGTTTCCTGATTTCTTCTTTCTCGTTCTTTCCTCCGTAACACGTTTCTATCTGGTTCATAGACGCTGCGTCAAGGAGACAGAGAAGAGAAAAACCACACACAAAAAATTAAAGGGAACGCCCAATATAACGTCCGCCTGAGTGCAGAAGTCTGGTTCATGGACAGATGGTGATGGCAACAGAAACACGGATCAGATTCAAGCCAGTCTCATCACGCAGCATGGCTCAGTGTCTGACGATTACATTCTTTGGCGGAGGGAGGGGGAAGGACAAGTTCCAACCAGAGCTGGACCTCTCTGCCTGATAGGTGAAAGCAGAAATACCTAAGCAGCTTTGACAGGAGAAGACTGAAAGTCATCTGAACGCAGACGGTAATTACAGGGATGTGTAAATAGAAATTATGAGTGTATTTCCTCTTATGACAACAGCCCCAGAGTGTTATATAGGAATGTGCCCATTCTTTTTTTTTTTTTTTTGGATGGCTGTGTTTCTGTAGTGATTCTTTCATTAACCAGCTCCCTAAAGAGCTGTTAAAACTCCATGCTGCAGTGGTTTTCACAGTTACGAGCTTTCTTCTGATCTCAGTTAATCAGTCAAGTCGTCAAACTCCTACTGAATCAATTCTTCCTTCTGATATATTTGACACTCTCCCCCTCCCTAACTATGAAAAATGGGCGAGGAGGAAGGGGTGCAGGCAACGAAGGGAGAGGACGGAAATTGAATTACGGTATGTCATCAAGGTACGCAGCCTTCTTGTGGGAGAAAATTAATATCTACTCTTCTAAAATATAAAGTGACCAGAAACCAGATAACCAGGAGGACCAAGGGGAAAACAGTGTCCCTTCCTCCTAATGGGGAGAAAATAAAGGGGCCAATTCAACGCATAACAAGGAAGTGATCTGTTTACTGATGGAAGGAAACAGACTTTTTTTTTCACTCACTAGACAGACAAATCTGGCCCCAGTGTGGACAACAGAGCTAACAGTACACAAGTCCCTTGAAAGGAGCATTGTGCTCACTTTCTGGCAGAAGCATTTAGTTTAAGTGACCTTGTCATCATTTTGCTTAAAGCTCTGCTCGGTCTAGCAGACAGATGCTGGCGCTGGGAGTCAGGACAGCCATTGACTGACTGTGGTCCTGCCGTAACCAGGGACGTGCGTGTGACAGCAGAGCCACCTCTCTGCGCCCCATTGTCGTCCTGGTGTTGTCACGAGGTTTAGACGTGAAGGTAAAAGCCTGAAAAAGGCCTTTGGAGTGGCCTCAGGTGCCACAAATCCAAGGTACTGCTATTAATGTTGTTAATCATGAAAGCATCTGAGGGTTTCAAGAAACTTACAAAAATAGTGAGGCTTGGGAGCTAAATTTCTATCTCAAGTAAAAGGGCATATTTGTGCCATGTAGCTGGGGAGAACACAAATAAACTGATCATCAAATAAATACTGCTTATCTTCCTAGCTCTGCCCGTGTGGCCAGAATATACTTTAAAAGGGATGGTGCTAAACATGCTTCCGGCAAGACCTAAGGCATTTCACTTAAATTTCAGATTAGGGAAGGTTAAAATACCCAGATCATGTAGCTTATTAGCATTTTAATTCATCCTGAGTCCATTACTCAAGGTTATTAGATTTGGGAGTCCAACCAATGACCTTCATGTATAAGGAGGCTGCAGCCCCAGCCTTCCCAGCAGAGAGGCTCACGCTCCAGTCCCAACATCACTGAGAACTCTCTGGGGGGGGCCATGGTGACAGCGACTGGCAGAAGGGAGGCACGAGATGGAAATGACGCTCTCATGCACAGAATCAGGCTTCAGGTTCAAAGGAGAGGGTGCAGTTGTCCTGACCCACTTGCCGACATCTGCCATGTGAAACCCCAGCTTTCATGAACATTTCATGGATTTCAAACATATACCACTCAGGGGACACCAACTCATGCTGTGGATGGGCGTGAGGTAGGCTTTAGCCAAGGGAAGAACTGCAGGTTTACTACGGCCTGGCTAATTTGTGGACCAAAACTAGCATTTACAAGCAGAAAAATCAGCTTGCATGGCATGCAGCGTAAGCCTTCTCCTCTCTGGTACGTGGGGCACCTGCTCAGGGAAACACCGACTGTGTGGAACCCCGCGCAGAGAGACCCACAGACATGCTCACTGTGCTCAGCCAGGTCAAGCCCACCAAACACACAAGGCCGGTGTGATGCACGAAGCGGCCTCGGGTAACATGGAGCAGGCAGGTGGTCCCTCAGGATGATTCCCCGGCTTCTGAGAAGACCCCCACACCCAACAGAATACCTCCTGCATCTGCTGGCTGACGACTGAAACTCCACAACTAGAGAGTCACTCCTCTGGCTTAAGATGTCTTCACCCCTGTAAGAAACGGAGACACCACAAGAAGGGAAGACACTTGAAACCTGCTCAGCCCTGGGTACCATGGTGTGCAGGAGTTTGTTGGCTTTTATCCCAAAGGCCGGGGGAAAAAGGGCACAAGGGTATCAGGGTCCAAAGGGGGTCCAGACAGGACACGTGATGAAGAGGGGAGGGACCACGTAGAGCATAGCAATGGAGACACATTTATAAACCCCACCTACTTTGCAATGTGCCTTCAATGTTTAAGACAAAGGCATTAGGATACAAGCCAAAATCCACTAGGGAGGTCTCAGACTCGGCATTTCCAGGGAGTAAAGATCACATCCAAACACGGAGGAGATGGAGATAAAGGGGAAGTGCTCCTCCTCAACTAAACCTGCCTCATTTCCCATCCCCTTTAAGCTTGAAGGTCATCAAAAGCCCTTCAAGATGCAGACACTGCTAGCTAACGCTCTCTAATGGGGTTCTGCCTGCACACCCAGCCTGTGGCGTCCAGTACGAAGAGGACCCAACACCCTCAGGACCACCTACACATAAGCCCCAAACACAGAAATGCACAGGCCACCTTCCACGGGACCGCCAGGATGCTGGTGCCACGCAGCGTCCTCCACACCATCCGATGAAACCAGAACAATCGAAAATGGCAACCATCCCCCTTCTCCCAAGGAGGGCAAAGAAACCCAAACAAGAGGCAATACTTCTTGGATGTCTTCCCTTGGGTTTCTCTTCTCCTGCCTTGGCAGGCAGCTCTGTAGCTTCCCCCGAGCATTCGGCCCTCCTAATAGGAGCCCACCCACTCCTTGCCCTTAACTAAAACCACAACCATGTGTCCTGTCAGGTTGAGGAAGCTGAAATGTCACCTGCTTAAAGCAAATGTCTTGGTAAGAGAAAGTCTGGACTCGCCACTTCTCATCTCTCCCTCAGTGTCTGAACTTTTATCCCTTCTACCAACACTAAATGTTTTGACCCATAAAGATGGTACCTTATTGACACATGCCACCAAGTACAAGCGAGATCTGTGCAGGTCCTCGCAATCCGGGAGAGCCCCTTTCCCTGGATGGTTCACCACTGAAGCACCACCCTCTTCCCTCCTCTGCCACTCCAGCAACATGAGTGCCGTGCCATCTGCTTTACCAGCAAAGGAGCCTTTCCCTGACATGCTGAGGGTCAGGTCAGCTTCCCTGAGGGTGGCTGTACAGAATTCCGATTCCGGGCACGCAGATACGTATGTTAAACTCGGTAAGAGCCTCGTGTTAGGAGTTATGTTTCCTTGTTACAGCAGGTGGTAACATTGTTATCCTCTGTACCGTTGTTTCTTACTTCCGTGGAAATTACAAGAATCACACTCCTCAAATGTACGTCACCAAATGTATTTATCAATTTTGCATGAAAGTAGAGGCGGTCAGCCACTACGATACTATTCATTATTTATTGCGGATGCAGAGCATTCCCAGAAAATAAAGCTTGTTAATCGACTCCTTCTAAAAGATGTATTTATTTAAGAAAAACAGCCAATGAAAAAATGCAGTAAAAATCTATCCCATCATTTCCCATTTAGTTGTTTTCAATCTCCAGCAAGTATTCTGTAGGGCTCAGGCCAAAGCCAATCATGCTGGTTAAGGGGGAATGGACTCTCAACGTGATATTATCATCATTTCCAAAATTAACCTATTCTTTGATTATACGGTAATAGCATGGAATTAAATAATAGGAATACCTCTGAGCCTAATTTGGGCTCCACTGAGCTCAAAATATTTCACATATATGTCCCTTACTTCTCCCCACAACGTCCCTTGGAGAAAGACAAGTTGCTATTCCTAAGTTAACTTTTTTAAAGATCAAGGAACTTAGGATAAGAATTTGGTCATCAAAACAATGTCATAAAGAAGGCATCACGTGAAAGGAACAGCCACGTCCAAGGTGCTGTCTTCATGTGTGTCCAGAGAAGAGGAGAGACCTACGAGCCAAGAAGTGGCCATGCTTCCCAAATCCTGCTGTCCACAAGCCCAGTGTAAATAAGGCGTGAACGTGAGCCTCAGTGAAGCAACACAGGGTACGTGAAACAAAGGGAAACGCCCTCTCATCCAGATAGAGTCCAAAGAAGAATTCTGGAATAAAGGCTGGGCTGTTATCATTCTGCCACTCCCAAAACAACAACAGATAAAAATCCGCCTCTTCCCACAGCACACATACAAAAAGGATATCCATGTAGCACAGAATAGTGGAACTGAGGACAAACGAGTGAATAAAGAAACCACAGATTCTAATGCATGCCCACTAACTATTTACAGTGACAGGGAAACAACCTAAATGTCCATCAACAGACAACTGGATATAGAAGAGGTGGTATATACACAATGGAATATTACTCAGCTATTAAAAAAGAAGGAAATAATGCCATTCGCAGAAACACAGATGGACCTAGAGATGATCATACTAAGTGAAGTAAGTCAGACGGAGAAAGACAAATACCATATGATATCACTCATGTGTGAAATCTCAAATACAATACAAATGAACTTATTTACAAAACAGAAGCAGTCTCACAGATGTAGAAAATAAACTTACAGTTACCAAGGGGGAAATGGGATTGGGGAGGGATAAATTATGAGTTTGAGATTAGCAGACATGAACTACTATATATAAAATAGATAAACAATAATTTCCTACTGTATAGCACAGGGAACTGTATTAATAGTTCCTGTAATAAACCATAATGGAAAAGAATATGAAAAAGAATAGATATGTGTATGTATAATAGAATCACGTTACTGTACACCAGAAACTAACACAACATTGTAAATTAACTAGACTGCAACAAAATAAAATTTTTTTAAATAAAGTAAGCCAGCTGGGGTTGACAGTATCACCATTTTTACCAGATCCTACGCATTTATCAGCCAGCTCCCATCTCTGCTCAGGCTGCCCTCCTGAGGGGGAGGTACAGGAGCCAGTGCGGTGCTCCCTGCAGCTGAGCCCCAGCGAAGACCCAGCAGACCCAGATGGTAGGAGAGACTGCTTGCCCACTTCCTGCACTGATCCACACCTGAACACTCACTTCAAACAAATGGCATCTCCCACGAAGAAGGCTTTCAGCCAAGGGCACATTCAGTTAATTGCACCCTTTGACGAGAATCATCAAAGCATCTTATTCTTAAAAAAAGGAAAAAAACCCAAAACATTATTCTACCTGCTGGTGTACCTCCAGGGTTGAGGTCTAGGAAACAAGTGAATTCAAGAAGAGAATGAGCAACCTCTCACCTATCTTTTGGATAAAGTTACAATATTCTCCATGTTTTAAAAATATTGTCCTCTTCAAGTAGCAGAAATGCAATTCACTGTAGTCCAAAAGCATTTCTGACGGCCTCCTGAATGCCGCCATGGTCGATACTCGGGAGATCATTGGGGCTGCAACCAGCCCACCCTGCTGCTGCGAAGCTGACAGTCCGGGGGATGAGGGGGAGTGGGGAAGGGAGGGGGGCTTCCAAGCAGAGAACATTGGCAACCCGGGGTTGGGGCCCTGCAGAAGGGAGCCCCAGGAGCCAGGATCGCTTCCTGCAAGAGGTCTCCTTTGAGCCAGGTCTTGAGAAAGCTGTGGGTGGAGGAGGGGGAGGGAAGAGGAAGGGCTTAGATGTCCAAGATGCAGGGATCACTATTAAGCGGTCTTTGAGAGTATTCGGAGGAGGAGACTTTTGCTGTCATCATACCATCTTACTTCGTTAACCAGTTGGAATTCCACATTTAAAGTTTTATTTCTTTGGTTTGCCCCACTGCTAAACTACCTCGTTCTAATTAAGTTTTTCTCACCCCTTCTTGAAAGCAGGCTTGGTTTGGAGGGAATAAATGAAGGGTGGATGCAGGGAGAATAAAAAGGCACCCAGACACACACTCCCTTCCTTGACAGTTTGATCAGGGCTGACCCAGAACAGCTGGACCCTGGAGGAGACGATCTCAGGCCTGGGATATTTACAGTCCTGGGACGCCATGTGCTAACCTGCCTGCGGGCTTGGGCTGGTGGTGGTGGTGGTGAGTACGGTAGTAGCTGAAGACCTGATGGGGAGTGAGAACTGGCCAACAGTGCATACCACAAACCCTTAAATCCTACAGAACATCACCATGACCCTTCTCACTTACACTAGACTTTTGCTTTGAGTCATGTAGTTCAGTCCCCATGCCCGTTCACTCTCTTTCCCCCTCAAGCATTATGGCCCTGGTTCTCCACAAGCTTTGTTAAATGAGACACTCCCCATGGCTATTTCTACCATGGACATCTTTCTTCAAAAGGTCAGTCCACCCTGATTTGTTTGTCTCTGACCACAAAGGCTGTCTCCATCTTCATTCCATCCTGAAACTCTTCCAGAGCATTTACACATCCCTGCCTTAGGGCTGCCGACCTGTTCTACAGGAACAGGAACAGAACTGGGGGTGGTTTGCACCATAGTCACTTCTCTTGTGTCACAGCTTTCGTGAAATTAGGAAACTGAAGGGAGTCACAAAGTAATGACCACCCCCAGAAAAATGCAGTCCGTAAATATTCGAAAGAAAAATAGCCTTTTTGGAATGATTTTACACTACCTGCTCAGATTCATCAGGCCCATAATAAACTCTGCTAACACCGACTACTTTATTACTATACACAGCCACCATATGAAGGACTGCAGGTGCATCACTTCATTCGATAGTCTTTGAAACCCCAAGAGATATTGTCCCCGTCCACCGAAGAAGAAGCGAGAGGCTCTGAGGTTAACTCACTTGTCCACGCCCACAGCCAGTGAGCGACAATGCTTGGGTCTGAAGCCAGGCAGTCTGGCACCAGAGACTGGATTCCTAGACTCTGCTTGCCTGGCTCCCTGGGGAACTTGCTCACTGACAGGCTTTGACAAATGGTACCCTCATCCTTTGCTAGGAAATGCCAGGCAGAAGGGTGTTAATTTTGAGATCATGATAATTTTGGTTCATTCTTCTAAGATCTGCTAAGCCTCCTTGCTTGATACACATGAACCTTTAAGGACTCTTCCAAGCCTATAAAATATAACAGGGATAAGCAATTCAAATAAGTCAGCACCAACAATTAACTAATA